AATAAACATTCATTTATTAAAATTTCTTAACTTTCTGGAAGCCACCATTTTTTTGTTTTTTGAGTAATATCCCGGGTTCTCCCTGGGCCAGTTCCAGGATATTGGAAACAGTTGAAAAACATGAATAAATTGAATAATTAAAAAGATAATAAGTCTTTATATCTAATATATATTCTTTTAATTTCTGGAGGCCTCCAAAAAAATGAAAAATAAAAAATAGTTTCCCGGGTTCTCTCTGGGCCAGCTCCAGGATATTTAAAAAAATCAAATAATTTAAATAATTCAAATAAGTTAAATATATATATTAATTTTTTAGAATTTCTGGAGGCCTCAAAAAAAAATAAAAAATATACATAGTTTCCCGGGTTCTCTCTGGGCCAGTTGCGGGATATTAGAAAAAACTAAAAAATGTAAAAAAAAAATAAAAATAAAAAAAAAATAAATAGTTGTATTTTATAATTTTATTGAAATATCTGGAGGCCTCGATTTTATTTTTTATTTTTTTATTTTTAAATATACATAGTTTCCCGGGTTCTTTCTGGGCCAGTGCCAGGATATTTGAAAAATTAAAAAAGTCAAATAATTTAAATGATTCACTAAAACAAAAAAAAAACAATCTGGAGGCCTCCAAAAAAAAGTTTCCCGGGTTCTCTCTGGGCCAGTTCCAGGATATTAAAACAAAAAAAATCAAATAATTTAAAAATTTAAAACATAAAAATAGTTTCCTGGGTTCTCCCTGGGCCAGTTCCAGGATATTCAAAAAAATGAAAAAAATCAAATAATTTAAAACAAATCAAAGACTATTTTTTTTTAAAAAAAAAAATCTGGAGGCCTCCAAAAACTTAAAACAGTTAAAAACAATATAAATAGTTTCCTGGGTTCTCCCTGGGCCAGTTCCAGGATATTTAAAAAAAATTAAAAAATCAAATAATTTAAAAAAGTCAAATAACTTAAAACAATTAAAAACAATATAAATAGTTTCCTGGGTTCTCCCTGGGCCAGTTCCAGGATATTTAAAAAATTTTTAAAAAATCAAATAATTTAAAAAAGTCAAATAATTTAAAATATTTATATTTTGTATTTTTTTTTTTTAAATTTCTGGAGGCCTCCAAAAACTAAAAAAAAACAAAAACATATAACATATAAATAGTTTCCTGGGTTCTCCCTGGGCCAGTTCCAGGATATTAAAAAAACATATCAAATAATTTAAAAAAAAAATCAAAAAAATAAATATTTATGTTTTTTTATTATTGTTTTTTAAAAAAAAAATATAAAATCTGGAGGCCTCCATTTTTTTTAACAACAAATATAAATAGTTTCCTGGGTTCTCTCTGGGCCAGTTCCAGGATATTTAAAAAAATTTAAAAAAAAAAGCAAACAATAATTCTAAAAATACAAATAATTTAAATATTTACATTTTTTAAATTGGCCTCCAACAATTAAAAAAAAACAACTATAAAAAGAAATTAAATAGTTTCCTGGGTTCTCCCTGGGCCAGTTCCAGGATACTTAAAAAAAATAAAAAATCAAATAATTAAAAAAAACACATATTATTTAAATATTTATATTTTTTTTTTTTTGATTTTTTGGAGGCCTCCAGAAATTTAAAAAGTTTAAAAAATATAAATATTTAAACTAATTGAACTGTTTCAATTGATTGATTTTTTTTTCCAAATATCCTGGAACTGGCCCAGGGAGAACCCAGGAAACTATTTATATTTTTTTTTAAATTTTGTAAATTTCTGGAGGCCTCCAGTTTTTTTTTTTTTTTTTTTTTTTAAATATCCTGGAACTGGCCCAGGGAGAACCCAGGACACTATTTATATTTTTGTTTTATATTTTTGATTTTTTTGAGGCCTCCAGAAATTTAAAAAAATAAAAAATATAAATATTTAAATTAATTGACTTTTTTAAATTAATTGATTTTTTTTTTTTAAATATCCTGGAACTGGCCCAGGGAGAACCCAGGAAACTATTTATATTTTTTTTTAAATTTTTGGAGGCCTCCAGAAATTTAAAACCAAAAACAATAATATTTAAATTATTTGATTTTTTAAATTATTAAATTTTTTGGAGGCCTCCAGAAATTCAAAAAAAAAGTAAAACATATAAATATTTAAATTATTTGAATTTTAAATTAATTGATTTTTTTTTTATTTTTTTTTTTTAAATATCCTGGAACTGGCCCAGGGAGAACCCAGGAACCTATTTATTGTTTTTTATTTTTTTTTTATTTTTTTAAGTTTTTGGAGGCCTCCAGAAATTTAAAAAATATAAATATATAAATTATTTGAATTTTTAGAATTATTAGAATATTGTTTTTTTTTTTAAATATCCTGGAACTGGCCCAGGGAGAGCCCGGGAAACTATTATTCAGGGCCTTGGGCGACACATAGGCCCAATTCTTCCCTCTTACCCCCCTCCCCCCCGGGCAAAAAACTTTAATTATTCTGGTGCCCATCAACAATGGGGGCGAACCATAATAAAGAAACAACTTTGCATTATTGACTATCCCATGAGTATTCGGGTGTCAACATTAATGATGCGGATGGCGTTCCGTATCGCACGAAAGGTCCAGCCACTATTAAATTAAACCAAACTGGTTTTTGGTTTGTTCAGCTTCAAGATTAACCACATATTACAGTTCCCAACTTTAAGAAACACGTGGTCAACTTTCAGAAGCAGGACAGGACATGTGCACCTACCTGTCGTTGCCGAGGTGCCGAGTGATCTTCAGTGTTTCACTCACTTGACTGCGAGATTGTGTGTTGGTTGGTTTCTGCATATATGATGACATGCAAGATGTTGCGGGCAGCCAGCTAAGCACGGGCTCCGCTGACTTTGCACTTCAGTCAATGTCGCAACGGCCGTTTGCGCAGTGCATTGGCATCTTCATATGTGAAGATACTGGGCAGAAGCAAGGCTGTAGCTTGAAGGCGAAACGCCCCTAGTTCTGCTGCCTTGGAAGACCTTGCCAATGCGTAATATCGTTTTGATGTTTTTGATGGCCGCGCCAGTGGCACTCCACCAGTTCAAACCTTCCTGGAGAAGATGACGACAATGGCAGGGAACGGTTCTGTTCACTTCAAGAATTTGTCAGGGCGGTATCTTATAGATAATTGATCTGGGCCTTCTGGCAGCGTCCAAATTAAATGCGCCCAGGTGGCATCCTCCACGGCACCCGAGCACTGCAAATCTGGCGAGGTCGGTTGCGACTCTCTGCGCACTGCAAACAACTGCAAAAACACGACATGGCCACAACAACGACAGCTGCACCAGCGGCAGCAGCAGCACCAGGCGCAGCAGCAGCAGCAGCAGCAGGTGCAGCAGCATCGGTAGCAACAGCAGCAACCACCAACGACAAACAACCAACAACCAACACAACCGACAATACCACAACAACCACGGCGATCACAACCACAACCACAAGCACAACGACAACGACAACGACAACGACGACGACGACGCCGACGACCACCACCACCACCACCACCACCACCACCACCACCACCACCACCACCACAACCACAACCACAACCACAACAACCACAACCACAACCACAACAACCACAACAACCACAACCACAACCACAACAACCACAACCACAACCACAACCACAACCACAACCACAACAACAACGACGACGACGACAGCGACAGCGACAACGACAACACAACGTGAATGATTACTAACTCGGACACGACGAACCTGGTCAGAGCAGACACAATGAAAGCCATCAGCATGAACAATGACCCTGTCACACACACACACGCGCGCAAACACACAAACTCACACGCACACACACAAACAAACACAGGCACATAAACATAGCATTGACGCAGAGACAACATTGTACACACACAAACATAGCATTGACACAAACATACCGTTGTACACACGCACATGCGCGTACACACACACACACGCTTGCACTCTCACAGACACGGACACAATCGAGACCAACCAAGCGACCAACAAACCAAGCGACTACGCAACCAGCCAAGAAACCGCGCCAGCCATACCAGCAAAGACAGTCACCAACAAAGCACAACCGAGTGGCCAAGCAACCGGATCAGCAAGTAACCGGGCAACCGTGTCCTGCCTTCATGCCAGCCGTGAGGCCTTGCCACGACACAGCATGAGACTAGTAGAAGTACCTGAGCGCATTTTGCACGGCGCAGCGCGAGTATGAAGAGGCATCACTCCTCTAAAGACAATGATAAAAAGGTTGCAGACCCCTAGACAACCCCCTAAAAAACCGTCTCTGCGATGCTTGCAGCTCTCCGACAAAAGCTGCTTAAGCTGCCGTCGCGAGAAACTCTGAGGCCAGAACATGGTACGTTCTCGGCATGATACGGACATGCTTGAGCCCATGTTTGCGGCACGCTGCAGGCTGAATCCCCAGCTCTGAGCAAAAAACATGAAGACCAACAGTTGTGCCTTTCTTCTCAACAAGATGGTAGAAGGAAGTCGTTGTGATCATGAAGGATACTCTCGAACATTGTGGAGAGCATGTCACAAACCCATCAGCAACATCTACTTGGATTTGTCAGCACACTTCTGCGATTCTGGCCCAGAATCCGAACTGGTGAAGAAATCAGCACCTTTTGCAGGTGCCAGCTACCAGCATTGCCTTTCGGATTCGACTTTCGATGGACTGTGCAACATGTGTGCAAATTGCAACACCTGCAAAAGCTTTGGCGTCCCCGAGCAAGAGACCTTGGGAGAGCTCATGTTACCCCAACGCCCTCAACAAGGCGGAGTTTGGCCGACCACGCCGGTCCCAAATTTCAAGCTCCATTCGGTTGAATCAACAGCCAAACGGTCCCACACAATTGAACCGCGTCCAGTCCAGCAGCTCTGAAATTGGTGGCATGTTCGTGCCGATCAGGGGATCACACAAAGAAATGATTGCACTTCCCATGGCCTTGGGCGAAATCGAGATTGAATCCTACCCTTCATTGGCGCTATGGTTCCACGTGGTCTTGGCTTACCCGGCGGTGGCGGCACCACAGAAGGCTCCAGCCAGCAGAACGGCCCGGCCTCTGGTGTGTGAGCGTCTGACTCGGGCTTGTCAGGGAACCCAAAGCAGGTGATGTCCTTTTCGTTTCTCGCTGCACCAACTCCCAAAAAAGGTACCCTCACGCAAAAACACAAACATTGCAAAGCAAAACAAGTTGAGTGACAAAAAGTTGAATTCCAGATTGCCAAGCATACGAATAGATAAGATTGTGTCGGTTCATGAATAGAATTGAGGGATATCTACAATTGTGACTGCGAAGGCTAACTTTGAAAAGTACGTAGGTTGAATATGGGCTCAGAACAATGAATTGGCACGTAAAAAAATGCCATGAGTGTTGGCCAATCCCAATCCATAATCCCTGTTGGGAAACCACTGCAAAGGCGAGCACTTTCGTAACTAAAGGCAAGGATTAAGGATTTCCTTTGAACAGCCCAGTGAATGTTCGGTAAACATCAAGCACGAATCCTCTACGTGCTTCTCTGCCGTCTCTGAATCGTGCTTACCACTTTGTCAGGTGTGGCTGCGCGACTTTTCCCCATAGCAAAAGGCAGGTTTTCCGCGCAGTTTAAGCTACCGACCTACTAACAAGTCGTTGGTTACTTTCTATCCTTGTCTGTCCTGTTTGGTTTGCGTTTCACACGCGCCAACCTCTGCGTGCATTTCCGTTGCCGGCCACAAATTCTTCGTCGTTCCTTTGCCACTTCGCATGCACACGATTTGCACACTTTTCTGGAAGTCCATCTTCGCAAAGCTCTGTTGTAAGGCCAGCAAGTGCGTAGTTATGCAAGGTAAGAAAGCAACTAGATTCAGATCCCTCCGACGTTATACTTGTAAGTGTGAACCATGGAATTGGAACTTGACTTATTTCACTCTTGTAAAGTTTGAAGTTAGTTTGTTGAACTTGATTGACATGGGACAAATACGATCATTGTTGACTTTGTTCGATTGCGGGGCCCACAATAATTCCGCGATGGGCCAGTTCTTTTTCAGCTTGGAGACCTGTTAACACGTTGCGTACGATTCATGCCTGGCTTGCGGAGACTAGTTGATCTGGCTGGTGACGCATGCTGGTTACCTTTTTGCTTCTGTCGCCAAAAGCCTGTTAGCCATTTGTAGCAAGTGTTCCGGCCTTGCAAGCATCATGTGGGCACGTATGTAGAGCGCCCAGGTGAGTCTTCACAGGGATCCTTACATTATGCACCTGAAAATTGCCTTGCAAATGGTGGTGTCCCTTTATTTTGGTGGAAAAAGCCAAGTTTCAATTGGGCAAAATGTATCTTTTAAGGGGCCCTGCTTCACCACAAATTTCAGTTCATGAAGCATTCATTTCGGAACTAATCACCACGTATCAACACTTGATTCCCGGGAGCGCAAACCTTTGCTCGCTCACAAATGGGAAGATGATACCTCTTTCTCCTGACTGCCCGGCAGCCACAGCACTCCAACTCGGCACAGAAGCCTGCCTCGGGGACTCGAAATCCAAGCCAAGGGCCGTACGCCGAGGCACCATCGGCTTCGGTTTAGACAAGATGGGGCCATCCGTGAGTTCGTTTGACCTTTTACTTGGGGCTTGGCCGGCCCAGAAGCCAAGCAATTGGAACTCGCTCTCAGGTTTGAGCATCCCAACAAGGTACAAGTCCCAACCTCTCTGGTGAGTTGGGCACAAACCATGCTCTCCGAGCGCAGCACAGCTTTCAAAAGATCTCTCGAGGCAATTCGGCCAAACACCAAAGACCAAAGCGTCATGGAATCCAATTGCCGAACTCCTGCCAAAGCACCAAACATGCACCGGAAGCACTTGGCTGAGCCCCTGAACATTCAACGCTTTCATGGGTGGTAGAGCCCCGGGGGAGAGGGGGGTCTGAAGCGAGAAACAACATACATGCCAGTGTGGCACTGTGGCATATGGAAAAGGATGGGCAATTCCTCAGCCAAACAAGCTTCAGACCGGCTGACTCTTGGACTATGGATCTGGCTGGCGAAAGCAAAGAAGTCTGCTTTTGCTGCCATGAATGCGTTAGCAGCCGAAACATGTGGGCATGTGTCGAGTGAGGAGGGGGCTCGATTGGGCCGCAGGCAATCAGATTGCAGAAGCGCCGCGAAGCGTCGTTTCGAAAACAGCCCGTCTTGGGTTTCTATGGTGCGAGCAAACAATGGTCTGAAAATATGGAACCTGAAACGGACACTTTGTTGTAAATGGGCTGACTCACAAGCGCCTCGGCGGGTACGCTTTCGAGTTAGTATCTATAAAACTTACGTGGAGCTTCCCGACCTGTTTCAACAACAAGCAGGACGTTGACGCCGGGCCCAGCAAACATTTCCAGTGCGGAACTCTTACTGCTGAAATCATTTTATCGCCTGGGTCTGCGGCAATGATCACCAAGGGCAAGCGCGAGTACACGAAAAGGTCGAGAATGTTCTGATAGACCTGCCCAGAGAAGAGTGAGTAAGATCTCTCGAGCTTGCCAGTGGTTTATAGCCAGAAGCGTTCCACCCGTCAGCTAAGCTTGTAAGTTCCCCCAGGTCTTTGTGCGCTCAAAGGCTTGAGCTTTGCTAGTTCAAAGCTGGTCAAAGGACATATAGCAAAGTCTGAAGACAACAACACATCTTAGCTAGAGTCTGAAGAATATCTGCTCAGTCTGAGTTGTGGAACTATGGCATCCTCCGTGGTCATCTTAAGAATCCAACTGAAGCGTACACCAACAAATGCAGCCGACGACTGCACTGGAACCAATCTCATCTGCAACACAAGCACGCTAGACATATGCAAGAGATGTCAAAAGGAACAAATACGGAGCAAGGACAACACCCAAGTGCACTTGCATCAATCATGGGACACGATTTTCAGGTGCACACAAGAGCACGGTAGTCAAGCGCCTGCTGACTGGTAATGCCCTTCTCCTGCGAGGCCAAAGATCCAGTCCGCTTATCAATTCCGAGCAGAAGACTGCGTCCTTCGATGCATTTGACTAAAATCCACTTGCAGGTAGCCAGTTGTGCCCTTTCGGCAATGGCTTCCATTGTACTCACTTGACCAAACAAAAACCCTGGAACAACAAGGTTGCCCTTTTGGGGTCATTGTTTGGCGAGGCCAACACCCAGCAATCTTCTGAGAGGCGTTCTGAATTGCTATTTGCTTTGACAGTGTGCGAAACTTTCCGCGCGGCTTCCACGCGGCCCTGGGTAATTGCCTTACGCGAGCCCAGTGCAATCGACGTTTGCTACAAAATACGAAAAGACCAATGACTGCACAGCACACTTGGCCTGGGAGGGCTGCTGCGCTTGCGCAATTCACTTTTCTGCTCCAATGTTAGCTGTAAGGGGCTTTAGCTCCACGGGAGCTAAGGCTCAGCCTTGCGACTTCTAGGCCTTCCGAGCTTCCGGCGGAAACCGCCGACATGAAGCAACGCGCCTCCAAAGGGAACCCAGAAAACGGGGTTCAAACGACCTGTTTTGGGGCATTCCAAACAACCCAACTCTTTGACATCTGACATTGAGATAGCAAAGGCCTGAGCAACCATACGACCGGTGGAAAGCTTGATCGGCTCAGAGCGTGCTTAACGCAAAGGTGTGGGTCTGAAGTTTGATGCATTCAGCAATCGTTCGGGCCAAAGGCTGATTCTTGGGCTGCAGAAAGTGTCCTCAATCAGGTAGTCCACTAGGAATGGCCTCAGAATCAGAGTCGTACGTTCAGGCAGGACGGGACAGTGCAGAGGGAACTTGAAGGGCAAGCTGTTGAACACCAGCTATGGGCAAAAAGAGTGGCGTTGTGAAAGGAGCTGGGCTTGCATGCCCAGTCACCAAAACAATGCTCCGCAGAGGCTGCTCCACAGATAGCTCAATCCAAGATGCGCTTAAGGTGCAATGTGTTGTTGTGACGCAAATGCAGTGCCACGCGTGGACAAATGCAGGCTAAAATGCGCCGCTCCGCAACCTGTATATACCTTGACCAGTCCATCATTTTGTGGGTACGCCTCATGAGGGAAGCTGCAGCGTGGTTGGTCTCACATTTGGGAAATCCTGCCCGTATTGACCCCCAACAGACCCAGTCTTCAATGCTCACGACACACATAAGGTGCCAACAAGGTCCATTTTGGGCCCCAAAGGGCCCAAACATATGTAACATACATCCCCAAAACAGAAATGGGCCACACATAGATCACACATGGGTTGCAAACCACTCGTTGTCCTTGATCCAGAACGAATTGAGACGAAATCTCCGGCGCCCGGGCTCTGAGGGTTTGAACTGTGACCAAAAGGCGAAGAGGTAGAGCCTCGAGTGGACCGTCGATAAGCTCCAGCGAAGCACGAACACAGCAACCTGCACATCCAATGGGTTGATCACAACGCCTCTGCAGAATGTAAAGGGAAGAACCTGGAGCTTTGGTGGTCCCCCTGTCTGATTGCACTCACTTCTTGTGGGTGCGCAAAAGGGGAGCAACTCGAAAGATTCATTCTAATCCCCATGTTCGATGTTTGGGGCTGGCCAGGCTCACAGGTATCCCGTTTGTTTAAGGTACGGTGATTTGGTGGCCTTTGGAGGTGGGTGGCAAAGATCAAGAGCCATGACCTTCCTTTTGTTCCTCGAGACGGAGTGTGGTCACACTGGACTGGGAATGGCGAGCTGGAAATCACAGGGCCATGGCAGCCGAAACCCAAAGGTCGATTTGGGGGCAACTGAACACCTAGCAGCCAAGTAGCCAATGCCCACGTAAACAGCGAGAATATATCCTGGTTAAAATCCCGAATCGCAACCCATCGGCTCCCTTTCAAACGCCGCCTATTGTGAAAGGCAACTGATTTTACTTTGGTACGCTATTCCAATCGCCGGCAAATCAAACAAAGTGATAAGCATTCGCTCAAGCCCCCCCATGGCGCCGAGCCATAGCTTCGTCGTCTCGCCTCAAAGTGTGTTCAACAATGACATGGTATTGGGTGGGGAGTGAGACTCAGCGCTGCCTCTCTGCCCGAGTTGACGTTTAACAAACGCACATGCTAAGTATACAGAATTACCACACCCCAATGTTGACGAGAACTGAGTAGTACACGTGACATTGCGAACAAGGTTGTGAATGCTGATTAAATGTATAAGCGTAGTCTGCATGGACATGGTATGCAAAAGGGTGAGCTCTTCAATGAGAGAGTGAGCAAGTAAAATATGCCTCCTTATCTCCAGCCTCTCTAATCAGCCTTGGGACCCTACCCCCATTGGTTTTTAGCCAATAAGCAACCCAAGGCTACAATGTCAGGTCCTTGAGAATTAAAAACCACACACGGCAATGACCAAAATGATGCGCCTGGGGGGATTGGAGGAAGGCAACGTATCCAAATTTGTCAATCCGCCTGTGGAGAGGGCGTTGCTCCGTCCACCCTTGGGACTAAGGAAGACCCAGTTGGTATCTGAGAGGTTTGTGGCAAAGCTACACAAACAGCAACGCACCGTGCTCTGTGGAAAGAAGAGATCCTCAGAAATCAGACAGGCTGGTGGAATCCTTTATTCAATGACAATGCCGCAATGAACCTCCAGCTAGCTGCCCAGTAGCCGTAAAGAAAACGACAAGGCATGGTGGTTCGCGCGGTGTTAGAGGAAACTCGGGTACTGCATTCCGGCGGGTTTGAGATGCCAAGCCTCAAGTCCAAGTCCCCGTTTCCCCAGAAACCTGATATCATGCCCCAGATGGCCACCAGTTGCAGAGTTTGTGGGATCCACCAGGTCCGAAGCATGGGTGTGCGGGTGCAAAAATGCCGAAGCCCATGGCCTGACAGCTCCTCCTCTGAGCCTGCGGGGTTCCAAGTTGAGTCTGTGCTGAAGAGCCATGCGCATCCCGTCCCGCCCTCCAGGTGTATTCAATTTCAACCACATGTACATGTATAATTCTGTACATATGTACATACTGTATATATGATATGTAAATGTGTAACCACCCAACTCAGTGCGAATGCATTCAACTAGCAAGTCAGCAGTCAGCAAGTCAGCAAACACGGCAGCAAACAATCCAGCAATCCAGCAAGATCAGCAAGGCCAGCAAAACCAGCAAGACCAGCAATCTCGGCAAGCCAGCCAGCCAGCCAGCCAGCCAGCCAGCCAGCCAGCCAGCCAGCCAGCCAGCCAGCCAGCCAGCCAGCCAGCCAGCCAGCCAGCCAGCCCAGCCAGCCAGCCAGCCAGCCAGCCAGCCAGCCAGCCAGCCAGCCAGCCAGCCAGCCAGCCAGCCAGCCAGCCAGCCAGCCAGCCAGCCAGCCAGCAAGCAAGCAAGCAAGCAAGCAAGCAAGCAAGCAAGCAAGCAAGCAAGCAAGCAGTGTGTATGTATTGCAATATTATGTACTGAAATGTAATCTACTATATGTATATGTATGTCTGCGTCTGTTTGTCTGCCCGCCTGCCCGCGTGCATGCATATATGTATGTATGTATGTATGTATGTATGTATGTATGTATGTATGTATGTATGTATGAATGAATGAATGAATGAATGAATGAATGAATGAATGAATGAATGTATGAATGTGTGAATGCATGCAGGGATGCACGTGCCTGATTTGTTTGTTTGTTTTCCGGTCTACGAAATTGTCTATAACTAGATTAATAAGTTGCATATATATATATATATGTAGATAGAGAGACACATTTACATTTGCGTGTGCGCATTCGCATTTACGCTTACATGTAGATTCGCATTTACATGCACGCATACATGCAGTCAGGCGATGCATTCACGTATCATACAATATGTGTATGCGTATGCAGAATGTATGCATGCGCGCGCTTTATGTCTGCCTTGAATCACCTGAACGACATCCTGGCGGCCATACTTGACTGAACACCCAATACCTACATCGAGCACTTGGCTGGTCCGTTGGAACTCAATGACTGGGGTGCGGGCAGCAACGTTGCCATTCACATCTCGCATAGGCCCACGCATAGCTTGTTTTTCCGAGGACCGATTCTGGTTGATGTGCAAACGGTTATGAGCACATGACATGCTTGGCACAGAGTGGGATTGTCTTGGGGCAACACTAAACTCGCCCACTTTGTGCTGTGTCAGAACTCCGGTAGGCCACGCCCCTTCCCGGCTTTCTACGAGTTTACTGGTGCCAAAGTGAACAGGGTGGGTCCTCTGCCTTATTTTTCGGCTATCACAACACCTTCCACGTGCTGCGGAACAGCCCAAAAAATAATCCGAACCCTCGCTTAGGCCGGGCACAACATTCCAGAACTAAACCCAAGCTGCAGTGGGTCAAAATGACTGCCCACTGCGGTTTGCCAACCTTGCTAATCATGCGCACCCGGGCAAGAAACATGAATAGATCTGAAACTTAAGCAACAATAGCAGAACACGCGTGACAAAGATCCCAAGGCTTGCACAAGCAGCGCGCAGTCTCTGAACAAACGCAACCAACACCCAGCACTGCGAATCCACCAACCGCGAGAGCTCTCCTTCGGAGATGCCCATGTCGCGGGGCTGAGCTCATGTCTCAAGTGGCGGGATTCGTTGCCTCTTTGCGATGGCCGGCTTTGGGAGGAGCAACTGTTTCAAGCCAGTGTAGTAACATGTGTGACTTGAGAAGAGAAAATAATGGAGGTCTCTGTCTTGACAGCGCAAAAGTTTGCCGGGGACATAAAGCAATGGTGTCTCTTGCAGTGCGAGGTGCCTATAGGACTGAAGCCAGAAGCCAGACGACTCACGATAGAGAATTGTCGCTCTGGGCATGGAAGCCGCGGCTGGGGAAAGACAGCTGCAGAAAACTCGGATAGGCAGCGGTAGCCTCGCTTCCTTGGCTTCATGTGTAGGTCCTGGTAGGTGGTTGAACACGATGGCGACAACAGCTCATCTAGTTTGGCTCCATGCGCCCCCCAACCTCGAGTTGTGTGTCCAGCTGCGCAGAGTGCCGAAAGCTCTCAACTGCTTAGCAACGATCCTTCCAAAGCAATGGCAATCGATCAGGGCCTGTCCCAAAAGGAAAACAGTTAGTTCCGAAAACGCGCCAGCTTCCTTGCTTTGAGAGTAGTATGAGGGATATGATGAGGACTCTTGCAACCTCCGGAGCAATGACAAATATCTATCTCCTCGTGCTTGTTTTGGCAACTAAGACTGGTGGGATGCGTCAGTATCCAAACAACTTGGACACTCACCTCCACTAACACAACTGTTCTACCACAGAACTGCGACGTCCAAACCTCGTCTCAATCAGCACGTAGTGCGTCGAGCAAGCGCTCCAAACGATCAATGGCCTTTTGAAACCAGAGCCTGAAAGCTCACTACCACAAATGTTCAGTTCCGATATATATATATATATATATGATATACATACATATATATATATATATATCCGATAAACTACCCCTGATTGTTCAGTGGACATGCTAATTGCCGTGGAATCACCATTCAAAGGGCACATTGACTGCAATTTCTTAAACTTTCTAAAGGGGGCATGGCCAAGGCTTGATGTAGAATCCCATGTGTTGCTTTATTCAGCTGAGCCGTGTTTTTTTTTAATGGTGTGGGGCCTATACAGTGGAAGCACATACCTACGCGGAGGCTACGCGGCTGTCTTTCCCCCTAGGAATTTGGCTACGCGGAGGTTACGCGTAACATATTTGTTGATAAGTGGCTACGCGGGGGGCTACGCCGGGGCTACGCGAATACCCGTTGGCAACCGGAAGTTCGTAGTTGCAGAAGTAGTAGTAGTAGTAGTGGCAGTAGTAGTAGTAGTAGTAGTAGTAGTAGTAGTAGTAGAACTAGAACTAGTACTAGTACTAGTACTAGTACTAGTACTAGTACTACTACTACTACTACTACTAGTACTAGTACTAGTACTAGCACTAGTAGTAATACTAGTAGAAGTATTAGTAGCAGGAGCAGTGGTAGTAGTAGCAGTAGTAGTAGTAGTGGTAGTGGTAGCAGCAGTAGTAGTGGTAGTGGTAGTGGTAGTAGTGGTAGCAGTAGTAGCAGTAGTAGTACTAGTAGTAGTAGTAGTAGCAGTAGTAGTAGTAGCAGTAGTAGTAGTAATGGTAACAGTAGTAGTAGGAGGCATGTGGGCCAGTGGCCTTGAACACGCCTTGGAGGCTACGCGGAGGCTACGCGCAGGCTACGCTGAGGCTACGCGGAATGAGCGAACTCAGCGCTGGCCGGGCCAAGGCAAATCAAATTCACCCTCTTTCTCTGAGACACGCAAGCTTTCAACCTAAGCCTTGAGCTCAAGACAAAGGATCTAGGCGGAGGCTACGCGGACGATTGTCGACAGCTCCCTTTGCTAGTGGCTACGCGGAGGCTACGCGAGGCTACACGGTCCCAGGAGTAGGCTACGCGGCTACCATGCCAGTTCCCCTCTCCTTTTGGCTCCTGCATTAAAAAAAAAAACGCTGCTCAGCTGGGGGAAAGCCCACGCAAGCAGCGCCCAAAACCCATTGACTTGTGGTTCTGCCAGAATGAAAAAATACAGGTTTATATTGTAGGCCTGATAGCCACAAAAGCCACAATCATCAGCTAAACTGGTCCATGGGGATTTTGTTGGCTGCTCACCTGCAACGGTATGCGGTGAGCCTTTTTTGTCTAAACTACAATTCTCATCAACGGTGCATTCAGCCTGTCGGCACAGGGAGAGCGAGCCAGTTTCTGCCTGCGCCTCTGTGCAGTGCCAAAGTAAACATTAGGACAACCCAGCATATATTGGGTGCCCAGGCAAAGCAACATTCTCGTGCGGGGCAATAAACCAGTCGATTGAAAGGGGGGATGCCATATGATGCCATCCTCAAAAGTGATCTGGGTCACATGAGAAAACCTGAAGCAAGCAGAGTTTGTTAATCCTGCTTTCCCATTACAAGAGATAACCTAGGGCAACGACAACACCGACCGTGTCAACCCTAAAGGGGTCTATATTACTCGGACAGATTGCTCACAGAGATTTCTCCCGACAAGACTCGCTTTGTTAACCCCCTAATAAGTTCAAACTCTCTCAGCCCAGTCCGTGACGTGTGCTTCCTTTATCAAGCCGATCCAAATCAATCCATCCTACAACCCTACAATTGACATGCAACATGTGGTGGTGAAAAAAGGAACCGCCCCTTCCTTATAGCAATGATTCGCTTCGGCTTAGGAACCTTTTGGATCATGTCGGTTCAAATGGACATCAACAGGACTCTTGCATTCAGATTGGCCCCACAACCTAACCTATCGAAGGGAAGGCCCATGGTCTCCAAGAAGCAAACCAAGACTTGGAGTGGATTCCCTCGCTTGAACTCGTGAGCCCCCTGCGACAACCATTGATGATATTTTGCATGTCGCGCTTTGTAGGTTTGTTGCCCGTCACGTCTTGACAATTGTTGCAATCATTGCCAAGGGGAAAGGGACATCCCTCAACCACTCAATCCGGAAGCATGCGATTTTGAACGGAAACATGGGAATGGACATCTCATCACTTGGCTGAAAGTTCTTACGCATCGAATATTCATCCAGGTGTGCCCCGATCAATGCATCTCTTTGATTCTCGGGGATTGTGTGTGATGGGACCCGCGCATGATCGGCGATGCCTCTCGAGCGGATTGACAGAAGCAAACAACATGATGCGGTCTCCCTTTCACATTCTCCTCAAAGGCTACTTGGAGACCCCATCTGGCGGGTGAATTGTAAATTGCCCGCTTTTTAAAAACAAAAACCGGGGTTCAACAAATCCGAGCTGACACACTTCAAGGCTGGATTTTTTGTGTGAGGCCAAAGGAATTGGCCAGTTGGGGCAGGGCGGCCTTTGAGGACCATCCTTCAGGTGCCGCAAGGTGGGGGGCCAAACCGCACGCATGGGCAAGGTCAGGCAGCGCAAGCGCGGTGCAGTGCAGGTGTGCTATGCATGCGTCCATGATCAAACTCGTGTCTCGCCATCAGGTGTGCGAAACCTATATTGCTATGACTAAGCAATCAAATCAAGGAAACAAGAGCGTTGGGCGCGTTCACAAAAAACAAAGTGAAAGGACCGCGCTTCTTTGCTGTCAACGAAGGATCCTTGTTGCACGGAGCATGGGGCGCGACCCAACTCCCTTTGTTCTGGGGTTGATTGCTACAATATCAAAAGGGAGGCATGTGGCATGGATCTATCTGCACAAACTTATTGAAACCACAAACTGGACATAGGTCTGCCCAGGAAATGGTTTTAAAGGGACGCCAAAAGGAAACCAGTGTTTTGGGAGTCCCCCCAAAAAAGATTCACCTGTACAGTACATGCTCAACCTCACCTCCTGAACTTGGCCACGTTCAACTCATGTATGTGTCACGTTTGGAAACATTGCCCCGAAGTTGTGTTTTGATATCACTCGGTTTGGTTTCAAGCCCAGAGGCAAAACAACCTTTAAACATGGCCTTCACCATTTCTCCTGCTACACCATTTCTCCTGCTATGTTCCACATGTTTCTCCTGTTTACCTATCGGCGTGATTTGCACCGCGAATTTCGATCGCCATTGGCACGGGAGAAGGGCCTCACAGCCTCACTCATTCGCCTGAGAGAAGGCTGATCTCTCCCTTTCCAGCCCCCTTGGGAGCTGCGCATCCAAAAGTATCAGGAACACAGGATCTGGAAGCACTGCCTGCACACCTGCAACGAAAAAGGGCCCTCCCCCATTGACGAAGGAGAAACTCCTCTGCCTTCCATCTAGGTGTTGGAGTCGGGTACCCAATGATTGACAAATGGAAATTGCAAGATCCGGCTAGTGGCAGCCTTGACTTGTGCGGCTGCTTACCCACAGGATACCTCCAATGATAGCAGAAGCCAGACACAGGGAAAGAAGAAGGACGCTGGCTCGCTTCTGACCAGCTCGATGCTTGATCAACTCGGGTTTCTTCCACACACCAGGATCACCAGACCCCAATGGATGCCAACGGACCCACTACCTGGCCCCCCTTTTTGTGGCAAAGCAAGGGGGGTAATTGGGGTTTCTGCTACCACATGTTGAATGCCTATTGCACAACCTAGATACGGAAATTAAAGGTTCTTTTATCACGGCATTCCAGCTCGTTTCAACGCCGTTCAATGAGCTTGCCAGAAATTGGACAAACCATAGCCAGGACATCCGTTCATAGGATGTTTGCACATTAAACCTCTCCCTTGAGGAACCTCTGGACGCTTGACAGCTGTGTAAATCCAAACAGCAAGAAAGCTTAGCCGCCACAGGGCCACCTCGACAGTCTGTTAGTAAGGAATCCTCACAACAGAACACCACTGGCAAACCATACTTAGCTGCCCGGGCGGTCGTCGTCCGCAGACTTGAGAAGCTTGTGAGCAGCATTGATGGCCTGTGATTGCATCCAGTCTAAACTCGCGACAATCAGCCAAGGCTCATTTTTTACTCTCTCTTGTTGCCGAAAAATCAAGATCCCATTTTTCCGGGCGAGGGGGGGGGGGGTCTATACTGTCTGTGAGGGTTGCGTCTGCACAAAGGTGCCCAGGACTAGAACATCATCACAAGAGAAAGTGCTCTTGGCCAAGTTTTTCCCTGGGGTTCCTTTTGATCTTCAAGCCCGCATAATCCTGGGGCGCCCTCTGCTAGCCCCACAGGAGCCACAGGGCAAAACCTGTGGCAAGCTGACGGAAAGTTAGAAAGCCAGTAACCAACAGCGGGAGCGACTCCAACAGACACTGAGCCATATCGCAGCAGCTCACAGCTCACCAACAACCAAAGACTCAACAAAAGACCTATGTATAATATGTGTATATATATTATACGACGAATGAGTTGATTACCACCAGTGACTAATTAACCAAATCCAGATCCATTTGGTTCTCCACCAAGACCCGGACAACAACAAGTTGAAAAGTTAACACTTGGGTTGCCATGACGAAAGAATCAAGAGCGCAGCAGTTGACTTGGATTGAAACAGCGGCAAGGCTTGCAGCGCCGGGTCCGCTCACAAACGCGCAAACATGGAAAGGTCTCAAAAGCAAACCTTTTTGGAGACACTGTGATGTGCCTCCTTGTCAACCGCTTTTACCACAGATCGGGGCATGATAGGGCGAGACGGGTCAAAAGTATAACCTCCCTGCACAGAACTCAACAGTGTCCCTGTCATACCCTGTCGGTTCTTTGGAATCTGACGTAATATCCAACCACTTGAAGGGGCGTTGTGCCAGGTAAGTGGGCAGCAACCGTTTAATCACTATAATAAAACTTCACTTACCATGGAAAGAAGTCTCCTAAGTGGGTAATCATGGCCAAAATCGGAAATCGGACATCGGCGCCTGGAAGTCCGTCGTGTTGCCACCCTTGTCGGGGTGGTGTCTCAGCACCCGCCGCCGGAAGGCCTTCGAACACCCACGCGGGGCCCTGCTCCAATCCGGTTCCTCGAACGGATCCGTCGCCCGAAATTTTGAGACTTCTGCTGTCATTTGGTCTTTGGTGTCACTGGGGCCAGAGCAACCCTGAAGACGAATGGCTCAGAGGCTTTCAAGCAAATGAAGAAATTGTGCCGTGACCCAATGCTGCAAAGCCTTGCTGGCAAATCAACAAGGTTCACTCGTCCAGCGATCCTATGGATTTCTCTGCCACAGCATCCCACTTTTCTGCCCAAATGACCCAACAAGGGGTACGAAGGCAGGACAAAGGAGATGAACAGGATACCATTTGACACCAAGCAACTGGCTGCTAGCTGGTGCTTGATTCTATTATCTTGCTCCTTGGGGGATGGTCCCCTGAGTTGCTGTATATGTATGATATCCTAAGAATTGCCCAACAAGTCATAAGTTCGTTCTTGCGTTCGTGCAAACGTATCCGCTTTTGTGATACCGCTGGTAGGCCTCTTACGAATTCTTCACATGGGGGTTTCTCAGGAGAAGTCGCACTCCTCCTTGACTCCAATGACCCTGCTTTGCTTTCATTCTATGTTCCGCTGTCTTCAGCCCGCGCAGGGGCCGTGTACCCGTTTCGGCGGACAGGGTCGCCCCCGACCCCGCCTGCGTCACCGTCTTGCGGCCCGCCGTCTTCTTTACGCCCAAGGCCTGCAATTTGTATTTCCTCAATCTGAGGGTAAGGGCAATATGACCACGAACACTGCCCCAAGCCATTGAACTCCGACACTTTTTAGCTCTGCTGAGGGAAATTAGGAATTTTGGGCCTGCCCAAGCACTATCTGGTTTCACCGTTGAGCATGGCTGCTCGTTTATGCAATTTCTACACATCCGGCCGTGCCGATATGCTCAGCTCCTGGGGGCGATACCGGTGTATGTGCTTCAGCGCGAAATGCAAACCAACATGCTGGCACAGTGCAAAAGCAGAATCATCGCAATCACCACACATTGATAGACTTTGTTGAATAGGTAGTTCGTGACACACAATTTCTGCTGATTGCATCATGCGCTGCTGATCTGTTTGAATTTGATCCTAATTGATTTGTTTATCATGACTTTGGCGACAACATCCAATTGAGACATATGAAGCTTATCAACACATTGGGACCCCTTATTGAACTTGATTTGGTGCTCTGTGCCACCTTCCAGGGAGCTCGGAGGCCCGAAAGTACCACAACAATGCACAATTTCTGTCCCAAGCAATATTGGCATCCCTTCGACTTCCTCTCAAAGACAGCCTTTGAGCATATGAGATTTGGTCAGAATTTACATGGCGAGCGACCCACTTGTCTATGGTAATTTGGGAATTGCACGCACCATGCCTTTGCAACAGAGATGACTCTGAATATTTACCGTTGCTCGCGCCCCGAGGTACAATTGCTATGGCATCAAGGGGTGTCCAAGCGAATGGAAACTAGTTGCCAAGTAGAGCAAAAGAAAACAAACAAGTGGCAAGGGAGCCGCTGAGCGTGCTGGAAGCATGGAGTCAACAACAGTAGTGCACACGTGGGTAGATCTAAGTGTCCGATTAACTTTCAAAACCTCCCAACACGCAGGTTGATACATTTGGATCCTCCTACAAGACTTGAACCATCTTGAACCTCATGCTCTAGTTTTCTCATAGGAACGGCGTTTCTTTGCCCTGTCTGTGTATTGCTCTTGTTCTTGAACTATGCTCGGAATGACGAGGAGCATGGGGCCCCTTTTACTGGGTTATCCCCGGATTCACGAAAACTTCCGGTACAGCGCGCCTCAGCCGCCACGGTTTTGCGGCGGCCTGCCTGGGAGTCGTTGGCGTTGGGTCGGTTGGCTCAGACTTCGGCTCCCAAACCGTCGACCCGTCGACCCGTCGACCCGTCGACCCGTCCTCCAGGGGGTCGTAGCGGGGCGCTGGGCTGAAGCCTCGGCTTCTCGCGACATCCCTGCGAGTGATCTCTCAGGGAAACAAGCGAGAAGCCAGCGCATGGCGATATTTCGGGCTTGCAAACGGGGACATTGCGGGAGGCCCCCAAATGGTGGCTTCCTGTGCCCATCCACGAAGGGTGGTCAAATCAGCGACCCCCCCCCAAAACTTGCCGTAGTGGTCTTCAAATGCGAAGGCCCTCAACTTCAAAGCCAAAGCAAAGGGACCGAGCCCTTCGCGTCAGGACCCCTCGAGCTTCGATTGTTTCCTAGACATGGATGCAATGGCCCTCCAGCCTCTCCCGCCCCTCTGCTTGTTGGACACACCGACCGGAAATCGTGGCTTGGCTCTTGACTCTGAATCACACCCACTTCGGGCTGTCAAAGGGGAAATCTGTCCAGAAGGACAAATGTTTGCTGCGATTGGTATTGCACAAAGCATGCTTGATAAAGCCCGTCTCCAGATGTAGCGATTCCCTTGTGTTTCCCCTTGCCGTGCAAGATCATTCAAAGGCACACTCGGCTCCGCACTGACCAGGCAACTGGCGGGTGTACCTAAGTCAATGGGAAGTGGACATGAAAGGGAAATGGAGGGTTTTTTCTCCTCTATCTCTTTGTCTCTCTCTCCCCGTGATAGTCGATATATCCTCGAAAATAGGGCTGCTAGCTCAATCGGGTTTACTGGCATTAGGGTTCGAATCCACAGCAACCTAGGCCGAGTGGCCTTGGAATCCTCTGGCTGGCCTCAGCTGAAGCGCTGGCAGCCACTGTCGGGGCGCAGTGGCAACTTGAGAGCCAGCAGAAAACAAGGGCATAATCTGGCAAACTTAGAAGTCGGCTCCTTAAGTAGGTTGACTCCTCCCAATCCCAATGGCGTCTTAGAAACATCAAGGCAGCTTGGGAACGCGTTGAGTCAAGCGAATCAAACATGAGTCGTGTTACAACGCTGGACCTTCGAGCGCAAGGAAGGACTTCTTGAAAGCATAGCCCTTGAGTTGGGCAAGCTCAAGGAACACGTCTTGAAAGGAGCTGCGAATCTTACCATTCAGAGCGAGTTGACTAGCTTTGGCACACGCACACAAGACCCAAATATGAGCTATAGGCAATCTTCGTTGTGCCCCATTTGACACAGGAAAATGCGGCGAGTGACCCGCAGACTCTGATAGTCTGTTCTCATGGTGACAATGTGAGTGTACCCCATGTCATGCCTATCTCCACAGTCGAGCTGCAACCCACCATGATGGTGAATATTGATTGTCGCTGCTTCAAAGGTTGATAGCGTTTTACTGTCACCGCCACGCCTTGTCCGATCGGGACGGGAACCTGCAAATAGAACACATTGCTGGTGAATATGCAACCAGTGACTCTATAAACCTCCCGTGCATCCCTATGTCGTAGAAGGTTGCTTACGCGCGAGCTTGCGCTTTCCTTACGCGACCCTTGTTTTAGCTTGCGCGGCAGTCAGCGAGCATGTTAAGCTTACGCATCGCTTACGCGTCAGCGTTTTGAGCGTTTCCCCTCAAGAATTGCTTACGCGGTCTCCTTTCTCATGCAGCCGCCAGAACTGCTCAAGATAATGTGGATGACTCTGAGGAAGAAGGTGACGAAGAACTACCTTCACGAGTTTCAGCGGCTTGGCGTTGTTGCATGTTCTAACTGCAAGTCAAGAATCGGGTTATGCGGCAGCGGCATCCATCGCGAGGGCTAGCGAACGCGAGCCTTGCGCGGGTGCTTACGCGGAGCTTACACGCCCGAGCCCCTTTAGTTTTCCTAAATCCGTGGTTTCAGAAGCCTTTGATTGTCCTGGTAAAGGTTGCGAAAGCACCTAGCACGAGCCCCAAGAGCTGCCTATCAAAGTTCTGCTGGTTTTGTTTCTAGTGGTGCGCACATGCTGTCTGAGACGTCTTCCTGCGGCCGGTGTACAGGCAAGTTGCTAAGCTCGATTGGGGGTGCAACAGCACAAGCCAACAATAAACACATAAGCGCATGTCCAACAACTCTTCCGAGCATGCTTACAAACGCTTACAAAGCTTATCACGAAGAAGAGCAAACGCAGGTGCTTACGCAGCATGTGTCCGCAAAAAGTGCGAACACCGGCTTACGCCGCGCAGGGTTTTGCTTACGCAGGGCCTTGTTATGATACACCTCTTGCTTGGGATGTAACGGGGGGCTTTTAGAGCTGCTCAAGTGCGTAAAATCGGCTGAGACGGTCACCATTCTGTCAATTCTGCATCTATCTTGGCAAATG